TCAACTTAAAGATGGGAAAAAGAGACAGGATTATACCAGACGAATACCCTTTTTAATAAAATAGCAATTTTTCAGCACTGTAGTATGCCTAATTCAAAGCGCTAATATTTGATGTCTTTTTCTGAGAGTGTTTGTAAAAGTCTACACTTGGCTCTTGCCTGAAGAAAGCTGGTACAAAAAATTGGGCATAAAGTATAGGGTGGGCTTATACCCGAGAAACTAAATTATTTATTTGTTTACCATACTATAAGTACATTCGGTAAATGTCAGTACTAGCTGTTGTATCTCTATCATATCTGGGGGGTGAAAAATTGTTTTTTAATTGTACATGTTTTCAGTAATTGCACATTTCATTAGGAAGAGTATAAAAACATGACCTTTCAATGCTGGCATGGAAAATTCCAAATATGAGCACTTACATGATATTATTTATACCAAGATCCATTAACTTTCGTGGGTCTCCATGACAACCGGAGGCAGATGTCAGAAGGTGGACTTGTTGCTAAGGACAAGATAGTTAGCCTGGTGACGTAGACTACCTCCTGCAGTGCTGTTGTCAGATGGCAGGCTAGTTTGATAAGCCATCATTCGTCATTAGATCATAGAGGGTTCTGTTATAGACGTGCACATTATCATGTTACCTGTGCAAAAGATAGGACAATCAGCAATCGATGGTTTATAATAATCAATAATAATAATAAATATAATTATAATAAATATAATTACTTTTTAGATTTTAGTGAGTTAATTGAAGTACTGTTGAATTATGCTTTTTAATAGCAAATTTTGTCATCAAGATCTTCAGTTTTATCCTCATCATTATCATCATTAATATCATCTGATCATTTATATCATCATCATTATCAACATCATGGTATTCATACTAATCATTTTCATCATTAATATTAATATCTCCTCATCCTTATTCGCTCCATCATTCTCATCCTTATCATCATCAGGATCATCATCACTCTTGTCGTATTTTTCATCATTGTACTCACTACCATCATACTCATATATTCCTTTGATGCAATACACATGGTTGGCATAATTTTTGTTTTTTAAACCCTTCTGGTTTATCCCCAAAATTTGTCTCATTATTAAGAGATGGGGTTTTAAAAGGGTCCAAAACCCATCAAATGGATGAGTGGATGTTGGTAGGTGTTACTTGTAGGTGACCTTAGCTGACCCCTGGATGGATGATGGAATGCTAAATAGGTCAATCAGCGCTAGCACGTGGCAGGCGACCTCAACTTACACAAGTGGGCAATAATTGTCAATTTTGGGGAAGATAATGGTAAAGTGAACCAGCGGAAAGACTTGATTAAATAAACATGAAAGTGAGGCGCAGATAACACATAGGATTTTGGTTTTTCCTCAAAAATACTTTATATGCTGTGTAAATATTTACTTTTCCAAAAGTACTATAGGGCCTACATATTTATTATTGTTTTTGTTGCTGTTGTTTTTCTTTATTGTTCATGTTTTGTTATTTTTAGGCCTAATTTTTATTAATAGTAGTTGTTACAATTCCACATATTTTGATGATTATACTAACCATGATTTTGTTATTCGTTTCTGGAAAAATTCACTTTGAGTACTTTAGTTTTTTAAAAGCAGAACAATTTATCTAAACTATGAAATACATGCTTTTGTGATGTTGAATTTTTATTGGCTAATAAAGATCTGTTTAAAAAATGGATCAAAATTTCACAACTGTTGGCTTTTGTAAACAAATTTAATTAATTGAATGCTTTGGAATAATTTCAGCTCAGATGTTACATAAATAGCATTTCCTAGACTAGAATACAAGTGTAACTTGTATTTAAATTATAATATAGTTGAACTTGCCTAAGTCGAATCCAAAATGACATTGAAATACTGTTCGACCTAATGGAAAACACAACAAGTTGGCATGTAAAATAAGATCGACTTAGAAATTATTTGACTTAGACACAGTCGACTTAGGCAAGTTTTACTATACTTATTTTAGAATTATTTAGTTAATTTTGAATTGGCTTACACTAAACCTAATACATTTGTAAAGATATAGCAAATGTTTTAATGGTCACTGAACTTTTTGTGGATGTTGACCATGCAATGTCCAGACAGATTAATGGACTATATCCCAGGTGAACAAATTCCCATTAACCTGCGAATACAACTGACCACCTCAGCAATATAGTATCTCCTATATAAAGCTGACCACCAAACACTACTGTTGTGTATGCAACTGTTACAGTGCTGGATTCCACTTCAGTCTAGCGTAGGGTATAGTTACCGAGGCTGATGATTTTTAATCCTATGAACGGAGACCACCAGCAGCTCTTATCAGGCTAGGGATGTACGTAGTATGGGGTCTGCCTCCGGGTGTGTGCTCTCCAAAGTGCTAACATCATGTCCGTTGGTGTCTGGTTGCAAACGATTCAATTTAAATGCTGGCCCAGTTGTTGTGTTTTCATCTTGATCTGATGCGATGCTTTCACAAGGCAGCTGTTAAAGAGACGAGCTGATTTTTAAAAAACTCGGCAAATAGTTTCTCCCAGATTTTGTAACAATAAAATTTATCAGGTGTTTTGAGAAACTTGTAAACATGAGCATTAGGTTCAAACAAAACTTTGCTCATCCTTTTTAGTTTTGGCTTTTTTTTTTACTTTCACAAGTGAAAACACCAAACATTCTGTAAAAATGAAAATATCCTGTTAAGTATTGAGGCTCTTACTCCTCAAAATAAGAAACAGCATTTTGTGGGGATCTGCTCTACTCCAAAATAGAGTAGTACACAAGTTTTGAAAATTGTTAAAAGCCCTTTTATCAACCTGATTTCACAGATTCTTAAGTAGAGATTATTTTCTAGTTTATACTTATATTTGGTTTTTAGCTTCTAGTTTGTTGGGAATGCCTTCTGTTTTATTTCATTAATATTCTCATCAATAAAATAAATTGGTTGGTTGTTATAAATATTATTCTTCAGTAGCTAATAGTAATTCCATAATAAATTATTTTTTAGCTTAAGATGTAATTTTTCGCAATATTTTTGTAAATTTCTCTATTCCATTTCATACTGTAATATTATTAATCAAGTTGTAATTTAGATGTAATTTCTCGCAATATATTTGTAAATTTCTCTTTTTCATTTTATATTGTAATGTTATTTATCAATTTATCTTTCACTTGTTTGTAGTTTTCTATATATTTATATGTATTATAAAACATCCTGTAATTGGCTTCCGCTGTTGGATGATTTTCGAAATAAAATAAAAAATAAAATAAAAAATTATAAAAACTTAAATGTGCTGGCAGTAATATTTAATAATACAGAAATTTTTACCATGCCTATATGCATGGATTGTCAATAATGTTCGAATCTACCAACGGCCAAATCTGTGCCTGTGATATCTTTGTATGCATCACACAGCCTCACAAGTGTTGATTAACTCACTTACATAGAATAATACTAATCGAGGATATACACCTACTTTCCATTTCCAATTAATATTCGAGTGTTTCTTTTAACCTTTGTCAGAACACGTATCTCGACCAGTAGACCTCTTTCGTTTTCTGCGAGTTGATTTTTAATTTGTTCTGGAGAAAGTTGTGAAAACATTGAAGAACACAACTTCAGAAGTATTGAAGGAGCTGCTCTTGAGAGCAGATGGCCGTGGGAGGTGATTGAAGACTGGTGAAGGGTTACCAACCACTGTTATGTTCAGCTGATCTATCAGTCTATACTGTAAAAGTTTTATAACAGCTGGGAGTATCCATCTCGCTAGATGGAATGCGAGGTCATCCATATTTTACATAATTTTCAAGACACTACAAAACATACTCCTCTTTGACATCTTTTTCCTTCACCTGGAAGAGAACATAATAAAATGCTATTAATTTATTGTTATCATCTTTGTTATAATGGCCAATTAAAAAAATATCATGTAGGCCTATCTTTTTTTTTTTTTTTTTTATATTAGAAGGTGGTTCTCCTTTGTCCTATTTTATAATGACCTAAAAATACACAGACACCAAGTCATAGTTTCTAGACATACGACTTAAAATAGCCATACACAAAGATAGGCCTATTCATTGTTGTTAAAAGAAATTTTAATTTTAATTTTAGCATATGCATGAAAATAAAATAATTAGGTGAGGGATAAAAAAAAATGTATAAAGAGAAACAAAAACATGTTTTGGGTTTTTTGAATTGACTATAGGAGTTTGATATGATGTTTAGTGGATGGAAATATGTTCAGTAATTACCTTTAATCTCTTCTGAGGTTGTTGTAACTAGAATTACTATGTTTATCATGTTTATTGCCTTCGTAATTACTACTAAGTAACATGGCTTTTATTGTCATAACATTGCCTTCCTGCAGTTACATCAATGTCACAGAGTTATTTTGTTTTTTAAACCAAAGCAAGTAAGCCTCTGTGTTGACACAAAGGTGGGTGTATCCTAAGCCGTTCATTTCTTGGTTTATAGTAGTGTGGCCACAGCAAGTATCACCATGGTATCACTGACAATGATAACAACTTTGGAATTTAGTGGCCATCCCTGCACGTGCCGTCAACCCATATTATCAAGTTTTAATGACAGTCAGCTGAGCTTGTTCCATGCACCAAAAAAAAAAAAGATGATAAAGCCTTGATTGAAGATATGAAGGAATGCAAGACTCGTGCTGGAAAGTAGTGTCTTGTGCTGGACCTATCAGAGGTGGATAATTTGGCCTCCTTCTGACCCAGTATGTCAGGCTGTATAACTATTTTGTTGGCTGTATTATAGTGATGCTTATTTGTACGAGCTTGGTGTAACCTAAACTATGTAATGGAAATGGCCAATTTATGTACCACATACACTAAGTTACGTTCTCTTGCCAAACTAGTTTATTTTTCTGGGAAGTTTTGTTCTCCTTTAAAGAAAAATCACTTTCTCTATTTGGTGTTAACCATATTTGTTCTTTATTTTGGCGTAAGAGGGGTGGACTTTGTTTGTTTTCCTCGTTTAATGTTTTCATTGAGTTTATGTATTCCAACATACTTTGTGTCCGAAATTTAGGGGTGTAACATTTGACAGGCAGTTAATCCCCTTTGTTTCATCTGTTTTTTTTTTACTATACATGTAATAACAGTATTCATTCATTTTGGTATTTTATTTTTAATGATAGAAATGATTAAATGTATTTATAAATGAATGAAATGCACATAAAAAATAGTAGCAAATACTTTATAAATGTTTTTGCTTGTTTTGGGGGGTTTTGTTTTTTTTTAATTAATTGTTTGCTTCTTTCCTACACAGGTTTTCCCATGTTAAAATAATGCATAAAACACATATAATCACATACTACACTATATGCAATATTCACAACCTATATAGAGAATTAAAGAAATACTAATTTTTATTCCAGTGCAAATGGAGTTGAGTTGGAACTTCCAAAAAGTAGAAATGTAAATATAACAAGTGTTTTAAAAGTATACGTTTGAAATTTAAATACTGCCTCTGTAAGGTATAGAAAATCCCTCAAATATTTATTGAAACAATTTTCTTTGATATACAGACAAAAAAAAGTTGGTGTTTTTTTTTTTTTTTGTATTTTTTTTTTTTTTTTTTTTTTTTTTTTTTTTTTTATGTTTCTGGACCTAATTTTCAAATTGCAGCTCAGATCTACTTAAAGTATGAAGTTTTCATGTCAAACGTAAACATGGATTAAAAATATTAATGTAATTACTATTGTTTGTGTGTTACACAATACATGTAGTGCCAACTGGTAGTAATTATTCTCTTGGGCCTAGTAATAGGGAGCCTAAGAGCATGTAATAAGAAGAATGGTCTGAAGATGTGCACTTGTCTGTGGTGGTCCAAACACAGAGAGAATATTGCTTTGTTAGCCTGCTGTGCACGCCTTGATCTTGTTCGACAGATTCGATATGTTTGTACAGGCTAGCAATTTGATTCTACCCGCCGGCTTTGCATGGTCTGGAACCAGTCAGAGGCCTATCTTCTCCTGGCCTACTCAGGTGAAATGACAAAATGATATTTGCAAGCCTTCTATTTGGATAGCTCAACCACCTCCATTAGCTTCCTTCGGTTTTGACCCTACTGTTTAAAGGTGAACAATATTAAAGCTATTGAAAACAATTTGAATGGAGACCTAGATATCTATCCATTTCTTAAGAGGTGTCTCTCTGACGTTATGTAATTAATATGATACCAGAGAAAATATAAACGATATTAGAATAGTCTGCGTAGGCCTACATCAATATGAATATGTCATTGATTTTAAAGGTCTACATGGTTGACTCTTGCAGGGTTCTTGTAGGAACAACGCCAGCAATGATTTATGAAAGGGGTAAAAATTTAGGATAGGATGTTGAAAGTAGTAATGGTTAGGGTGTGAAAAGAAAGATAAGATTACACATGTGTGAACAGACAGCCAGATAGAATTTTGTATATAAGACCTATAACATTTAATAAGGAGTTGGTTTCCCTTTTCAGTTTCTCAAAACCAAAAGATTTTAGAGCGAAAGTGTTATAAAACATGCAAGGTATATCATTTTATATCAAGTCATGTGACCATCCATCGTGCGTAAATTGTGATGATTTGTCATTGTTTGCCTGTTCATCATGACGCACTAACGAAAAACTTAAATAACCCGATTGCCATGAGGAAATGGGAAATAAGTGAGTTAAAAAAAGTTGTTGTTGAGTCATAGGAGATATTCAGTTACAGCAGACCGGACAAAATTAATTTTTTTTTCATACCGTGTAATGCGTTTTTCTTGTATCCACTGAATGAAACAACTTAAGTTATGACTTAGTGGCCTGCAGTTTGAATCCTTTAATCGCTAAAATGTTATCATGCCTAATAATAATAAAAAAAATCAACTCTGAACTTTATGCATCACATGGCTACCTCATCTAATTAGAAGTACCTCACTTTGGGAGATAAAAAATATATTTTTTGAAAAAAAGTCTACAAAGGAAATTATACTTTATTATTGCTTGTACTTAAGCTTGCTATGTATTTTAGTTCCTCAATATATTTTTACTCCACTTTGTTAACACATGTTTGCCAAACAGTGTAAAGTGTAGTACTGTACTTTTGATTGCAATCTTTGCATTTTATATCATGAATGATGTAGAGGGGAAAAAATCCATTTGTCATCCGACAACAGATGGAAGATGTATGGAGATGCGTCCGTGTTCAAATGCTTTAACAGTGATGTTGAAATAAACGACTTTGAAAGAACGATTCCTCTGCCAGAGGCCTTTCTTGCTAGATCATACAAACAAATCTCTTATTTTGCAGCTTATTCTATCAGTTTGCAAATGACAGACATGGAAACCTCTCAAAAATTATTGCCAACTGCTCATTTAAGATGATAGAGTTAATCGCTGTGTGTAAGAATGCACACACTTGTCTGTTCGTTTATCTTTGGGACGGTATTTTATATTTGGTAGAGTACCAAATGTTTTAGGTCATAGGAAGTACTTTAATTTCAAACATTTTATGCATATTTGCCCAGGTTTGCCAATATATACTTGTATTGATATCAAGCTGGGGGGCAGGGGATATTGACCCTCAAATAAACCTTTCTTTCTTATATTAAGCCCCTTCTTGACCACAAATCATCAACATGTTAATGAAAACGTTTTTTATTCTTCATTTTTTAGGGCATAATATGCATAATAACACCTTTAAATTACAAAAAGGTTGATTTTTTCAAGACTTCAAATGTTTTCCCTTTCTAACATTTGCCGGAATTTGTCAGATGCATTGTTAGATGGCTTAGACCCCCTTGGGCAAACTAGAATGATGTAAGTTTGCCCTGTAAATATCAACCTACTTCAACTAAGCCAACAATGGTTGAATTGTTAGTAGGAAGTATTTTTTGAGAAATACAAAATCATTATAGGAATATAACCTATATTTAAATTCAGAAAATATTGATTACTAAAATAGTATTATGATCAAATAGGCTTACTTACCCTCGGAATATTCTTAGAAACCCCGGTGATCCTTATGGGATTATAGTACTCTGATGTATTATTAAGTAAGGATGGTGAAATGTGGTAGTAGAAGAAAATGAAGACGGAAGTGAATTAAAGGTCTGAACGTCAGTACAGGATATGATCTTTAGGCTCGAATTGTACTATCAAACACGCCACATGTGACTAACTGTGGGTTCTGGAAACTGGAAACGGATCTTGCATTGAATACAACATAGGAACAATGCCATGATAATGCTGTCACATTTTCCGATTTCTAGACACTCGTGCCTTTAGTTTAAATAAAAAGTTAGTTCAGAACACTTGTTTCACTTCAGTAGAGCTGTTTCTTTCTAAGGAGGATATATTTTCAACAGGATAAATGAATTTTGAAAACTTTTGTGAAATGGATTATACTTCTAGAGGTCAGTGGTTCGAATCTCATTTGGTGTCTTTTTATGTTAATTCCTTATGCTGTAGGATGTATTCTACTACAACATATTACATCTTTAGAAAAATATGTTGTTTTAGATGTCAATTTGATTACTTTTTATGTATTGATCAATCCATAGGCCTATGCTTCTGTGTATTTACTTTTATAGTTTTAATTTTTTTTAAATGTGTATTTACTTTTATAGTTTTAATTTTTTTTTAAATCCCAAAAGTATAGTGTTATAAGAGTATGCTTCAGAAGTATGAGTTTTATTAATTGTAGTGGTTTTGCTTATCTTTCTTCTAGGAAACTTGTACAATATCTGGAGGTTTTTTTTCTAACATTCTCATAATATTTATTTTAATTAAGTATAAAACAAAAGATAAATAGTTCAAAGTTCTCAAGACTACTGGGGACTCACAGTTACAAAATATTGCTGAATGCAACAACTAAACAGAAGAAGGACTCATTTCATATGTCATCTCATACATACCATTATCAAGTTTTTAAACATGCTTGTTCCCAGGGCCTTACCAATTAAAGTTGTTCTCAGATTTTAAAAAGACCTGAAACCTGTTAACGACCAGGAATCTGGACCAGGAAAAGTTGATAATAGCTATTTTTCTCACGATTTGTTTCATTAATGACAATAGACTCTTGTTAGTTTACCTGCACATAACGCCGCTCCAAGTTGTCAGTTTTCAAGCGTGGTAGCTCCAGGGGCAAAGGTCATCGTTGTTGGTGCAGCAACCAAGCATGGAGGCTGGACGCTAATAACGCTGGCGTGTAATGGAGACTCTAGCACTGACGGCTTCCCACTGGCTTGGCCAGGGATAGGCTTGCTTTTAACTGCCTAGAATGGCTTAATATTACATTTCTTTTTCAGCAGCCATCTTGATGCTAATTTTTAGGCTTGGTTTGATACTTGTTGATTTCACTAAATGAATCTATTTCTTTTCTTTACAGTCCTGGCATTACGACTCAAACTAAGAAGGCCGCGAGAGGAGCTCGTCAGTCAAGGCATAATGCCTCGTAAGTAACCAATCAATTTAATTTCTAATACTAACACTACCAGATATCGGTCTGCACTGTAGGCATATAATTATTTATTCAGGTATAAAATAACTTCACACATTGCAGCCATTGGCTGAAATTGATCTATCAATTATATTTAACAAAACATATGTAAATATATAATACTTCACATTAACATGTTTAAAAAAGTAGGCTATAGAACATCTTAAAATAATAAAAATAACCAAAATAAAACATTAAGGATTACATTAATATATTTTAGTATAGGAATCTATAACTATTAGTAATACAAGAATGCATGGGAATAGATACTATCTATTCCCATGCATTCTTGTATTCTAAGATAATGATAAAGTGGCATTTCTAGGTCACCTCCACATTCATCCTGGTCAAAATGTAAACATACTAAAGTATGTAAATCCATGATTGGCTACAATGTTGACCATTGCCTTTATGTGTACACCAGATAAAAAAAAATGTAGTGGACAAGTGACTTTGATGAAAAAATTGCCAAATTTCTACTTTATCAAAGGAGTAGTTGATCAGCTGTTTGCAGACCAAGTTGTCCCAGGGTTGTGATAAAAGGGAATATTCTATTGGCAGTGTAATCTTTTATGTTCGCCAACAGTTGTCACTTGATTAGTGGCTTGAAGCTGCTACTAATTAACCTTTGTCACTTAATTATTGCCTATAATTTCCACCTAGTCTTCGTAGTTACTCATACCATTATTATTATATGGTTTTGTTAATTATCGTTCATAGTAATTATCAATAATAAATAAAAAATAATAGATACGAACACTTAGAGTGACCCCTTATCCGTTCCGAGAAGACACTCATGGCGTGGCGAATCTTCGTTCAGAGCATGTATTTGACTTTTCAAAATAAATTTTTTTATTTTTAAAGTGCGGGATTACCAGTGTAGGGTGCCACTCGGACTTATTTTTAATGTTAACCTGTAGACATACAATATTAATAATATTGATAATGATATACAAACTAGTAATAACAATGTTAATAAAGATATAATATTATTGCATAAGTCTTACTGTGTAATCACTTTTAAATATTCTACTTTGCAAATTACAATATAAAGGTAAAAATATGTTATCTTGCATTTCAAATTCCATAATTTTCTGTAACTATTATTAGTATTCGGTTTTATTCTAATAATAAATCACTGAAGTTGTCTTCAACTAGTAGAAGCAGACTATAAAAGATAAATCAACCAATGGGACATCTTAAATTTCTATTACCATGGCAACAGTGACATCACTGCAGATTTTGTTTAGCAAGGAATTATTTTTCTTGAAGATTTCAAGCTAGTTAGTATTTTATTTAAGTTACATTCATAAATCAGATGAAATTTATTGGGATTTTTATTAGGTTTTTTGTTTAGTGATTATTTTAACCTATTATTCCACTGTTATATTATAACAATTATTTTATAATTACTTTTATATTTATATTTTCAATATGAGATCTTGGATCCAGATGATTTTGTTCATTAATTACTGGTATTATTATGCCATTATTATACCATTATATATTATATAATTATGTTATAATTATATTACTGGTACTTATATTATTTAAAAGATTAATTAGTCAATACAATTTGTAGTTAGCAATATTGTATCATGTCACTTTTTTTCTTTTTTAATTTTTAGATTTGCTATTATTACATTAATTAATAGTTATAGTTATATAATTGTTACTATTACTAAAATAATAATTATGATATTAGTTAATGCAATCTGTTAGTAATCTTACCCTCTATGGTTCTTGGTAGTAATATATTATTAAACCATGGAGTTAACCTTTTAACTAACCAGCTTTATGGTTTTGATTCAGACAATTTCTGCAGCAACCTCTCACTAGAATTCATTTAGATTTGTCATCAACAGCTGGTTTCCAAGATATTAACCATATAAATGTTATAGAACGTTGTGACATCAGCTGCAGAGACACTAAATTGTACCCCTCCCTCGCATGACATTTATCATCATTGACTGTTGTCACTTGCCAAAGATGGTCTGCATCATTTTCATATCTCACCATCACTGCAATGACATCACTAACAAGCCGCTCAATTGGTCAACTATTCTTAGGATTACCGACTGTTTATTTTAGCTACAAGATCCAGCGAGACCAAGTATGGATGGAGTATAGCAGTTCTTCATTTTCTAGAACCAACGTTCTGTTATTACTTCTATCTCAAAATAGATTCTTCTCCATTTTTCTATCGAAGATGGATTTAGATTTAAAACAAGATCCATTTGTTCATTTTCAATTTTGCTTCAAGACTCAACTGAGTTGACGTTCATGTCCCCTGTTGCTGGAACATGGCCATCAGGGAAAACCCCTTAAATGCTGCAGATTCTACTGTTGCATGTCAGTGTGACAACATAATCACCATGGAAATGGAAATGTCAAAGGTTGAAGGTTATGAATGTTTTGTTAGCTTTGCAAGGTCAATAAGTTTTTGAATAATGTTAAGTAGAAAAACTATTGTTGCTGTTTTGGGCAACTAATGCAGAAATGCACTCATCTATAATTATCTTGACAATCACACCATGATAGAACTAATTGCTGAGAAAAGTGGCTTTATATATCTGAATGTGGTTGAATTATATCAAAGTAATACTCAATAATTTTGTGTTTGATTATGTTTCTATTTATTAAAATTAATTTCAATGTTATGTATGTTATAATTACTTTTTTTTTCTTCCAACAGCATTGAAAACGCCACCAGCTTTCCACGAACAAAGGCAAAGACTAGAAAGAGCAAAGGTATGATAAAGAAGAAAGTTTCACATTTTTTTTTGTAATCAGGAGTTAAACATCTATAAGGATGATACAGACTAACTATTTTTATCTGTTGGTTGTCATTAGATTTTGGCTTCATTAGTTTTTCTCTCGTAGGAAATTATGGGGTAATAGTTTCCTTTCTCTTTGAGATCAAGTAAGATATATGCTTGCTTGAAAAGAAGGAAGAATTGATTATATTATGGTATTGTCCGTTAAGCCTTTAGTGATGTTTATCCTTGTCCAGCATCAGTAGGCTGTTTGTGTAACGACGTTGAGGAAAGCAGTTTGGTGCAGCAGGTTCCATTCTTGTTCTTAACCTCATAGTCGGAACAACACAATCGCCATATTTGATCGGCCATGCTTTTGATAACCCAGCTTGCATTGTTGATGGGCTGTGAAATAGGTCACTCAATGTTTCAGGCCTAAGTGCAAGTTATTCATGGCTTGTAAATTTTTTTTTTTTAATTTTAAATACGAGTAAATTTATAAGTTGTATCAATGATGCTAACATAAGTGTAACTATCAAGATAAAACTTATAAAATATATTTTATTCCTGTTGTTGGTGGCCTACCTACTGTTTAGATACCTGATGAAATAAAATAAAATAAATAAAAAACAAAAAAACACATTAAAAATACCTCACTTTATGCATAACATAAAAAATACTTTTTATTATTAGCTATATAGCCATCAAGGAAAAATAGCCACATTAGCAATAATGTAAATATTTACATTTTTTGGGCAATACAATATAGCAAGAGATAGTGATACAAGATCTTGATAATGTTGTAGGGATATCAAAAATCTTTAATGTAGTAAGCTAGGCCTGGATATTTATTGCTTATTGGAAACAGGTTGTTGAGTCTGGTTTACGTTTTAAATTGAGCCAGTTCTGATCAGTTAAAAATCTGGGTGGAAAATGGATGGATGCCAAAATAATGATACAAGAGAGAGGATTCTAATAAAAGGTAGATTAGAGGAATTGGGTGGTTTTTGTGTGGAAAGCAGTTAAGATATATGACATGAGTGTTGAGATGGAGAGAATTTCAACATTGTGGGGAAGATGTGATTAAAAATTCACTTGAAAAGGATTTTCGTAGTTAAATTTATGAAAAATTAATTGTTTTGATATGTATCTTAATTGTTAAACTGATTTTATTCTTTTAAAGGAACAAAATTAATATATTTTAATCAATTATTTAGGGTTTTCCTGATTATATGTATTTGAAACTTACAGTGGAAGACTGAATCCCACATAAAATGGATGTTTTACTACTTTGTGACCATTTTTGCCTTTACCATATTTTACCCTGTCACCTGATCCATAGTGCACAAGACTACCATTTTTGAAAATGGAAGGTAGTTGGGTTTGCTAGGCCTATTCCATGTCTTTTGTTTCTTCCATATGTTGCTGTAACTTCTATCGACTTCCTTGTTCTGTGTGGCCCTTTCACTTTCAACCATCCTAATTTTTGAGTCATATTTTTATAGTTTCATCTGGAAATTTTAATTGACATTTCAATTTGACATTTAAAGCTAGTTTTATTATTAGCAGCAACATTCAACATGTTGAAAAGGTTGTAAACTCAAAGATGTTTAGTTTTATTATGATTAAAAAGCTAAGTTATTGCATTTTGGAAAACTGGAATTTTTTTTTAGTATTCTTAAGGGTTCCCAATGAATACCTCCCTTGAGTCGGAAATGGTTTATCCTCGTATAATGTTGTTGAATGGTTTTTAAGAATACCACACTGTTCAGGACAGAGGAACTCATAACCAGTATTGAATTAGCTTTGGATACAGTGGACTTAGGATAGGAGTAAGATTAGGATGTGTAACAACACCAGATTCAGCTGGTTTGGTTGGCAGACAGCCTTGGTATACATTTCCAAAATCTGACCCTAAATTTCCAGGTTTATAATATATAATATTTTAAACAGAAACTATAAAATGGACCATACCTAATTACCTGTTGCAATTCATCCGCCATGGTAAAATTTGTATTATAAGTACTTATTATGATGTGATTGTATATACCAAGTAATGTTTAATGCTAGGTTAGCTCAGGTCATCCCAGCCAACCTGTACTTGCTCAAAAAAGAAAGAGGAAAGGAAATAATTGAAAGTTTATCAATAGTATACATCAAACTCTCCGCGGTATTGCCCGCAAGGGTTGCTTCCCCTGTCTGGTAACACTTTTATAAAGGAAGTGATCTTTCAATATAGTGGTACATTTGATTCAACAATTTGATTTGGGAAAAAAAGCATGTCATTCTGTCAATTACGACAATGGTAGTGGTTAAAAATGTGTTTATTATTATTATAACCGCAATTATGTAATATTGGGCGTCCATGTAAACAAGTAGCCTTGTTTACTTGGAAAGGTTAATGGAGGTTGTGTTCTGTGTAGGTGATTGGAAGTCACCTGATGTCCATTCTAACAGGAAGTGATCCTAGTGGAAGTATGCCAACTCGGAAGTGATGCTTTAGTTACCATGTTACATTAGCTAGTGTTGACATTGTTGTGTTATTAGCTAAGTTTGTATCCATGAGGCATGCAACTGGTCGTGAATCTTCGTACTTAATTAGACCATATCTGGACTAATTGTACACTGAATAACGATCGACTTATTAAGCCCAATCAATCTCATTGCTTCAACCTTTTCGTTATCTTGGTGTTGACGTTATAATCTTCATTGTCACATATTTTGTCAGTGTACTCTTGGTAGTTAAAACCTTATAGATGCTGTAACTCCAATACATCTCTTCAAAATATTTCAATTTAACTTGTAGTGATAGTGCATATTAATTTCATATTTTATCTAATATAATAATGAAATATTTAAGTGAATTAAACTTTATTTAATATTTTAATATATGTAAACAAAATATCTATCATACATTAAAGTACTAAATATAATTTTATTTCCTTAAAGTATTGCATAATGAGAAAATAATTTATTTTTTAGAATGTAATACTTTAATTTTGACACTGGTTATATGTTGGTAGATTTATAGTTTTTTTGTTGTGTTGCTGACAAATAGTTTGGCCTATCCCTAAGGATAGAAGAAAACTTATCTTAGAACACACACCTAATCACATGGCCTGATTCCTGGTCCCTTGCCAATGGTGTGACCCACTAACTAGTAGCAATCCAGACCGTCAATATGGAGTGGTTTTGACAGACGACTTAAAAGCTGGTGTTGGACATTCCTTGTAGCCCTTTGCACTTTGTGTTCTGTGATGCTTAATATTTGTATTTCTTCGTCCTCTGGCTGTCATCAAGTTGGTCCAGGTGCAGTGAACATCTCTTGTTCTGTATTTACATCTGTATCCAGGTCAGGTTAGGGGTCAAATTTATGTGCTTAATATAAACTTCCAAGTTCCTGTTGGAATACATCAATTTGGAACTGCCACACCCCCAGCCAATATACTTTCACTTCCTGTTTTCATTTTAAGAGTTGGAGGTAGGGAATGATTTTGAGATATATCTTCAGCTGATTACCACCCCTGAGGGATTTTCATTCCCCCAGCCAGATGCTCAAATTTCACCTGTCATTATCTTTAGGTGGGGAGTGACTTGAGGATTTTTGCTCCTTCAGCTGTTCCTCAGCCTTTCCCTGAGGTTATAGATACTCTCCTTCCTGGCTGATTCACCTTCCCAATATTATTTGCCAGTCCCCAAAGTGCAAGTATCTGTGGTGGCCATTATCCTATAGCTGTCTCAAATATAATTAATTATTAGATTAAATCTTTTCATAAATAAATATGAGTAAATATTTTTTTAAAAATTAATATTACAGTATTAGTAAATATTTTATTTTCTTAAAAATCTCAATTCAATTTTGGAAATCTTTTTAACTGCTTAAAAATCATCAATTTTCTAATAAAACTTTCAAAACTAGACACAGTTGTCCTGGCAACAAGATTCTTAGAGTGCAGTGAAGCAACCTAGTTTGAAGCTACCGACTTTCTGATAGTTTTGCTCACAACAGACAGCCTAGGGCTAGAAATACAAAATCAATTAAATCCAATATTCAGATATGATTGTCGTAGGAGTTAGCCCATCGGTTTACGCACTTAAGAGTCAAATTTTTTCATCACAGACAAGTATGTTAATTAGATCTGACGTCTAGGTACCAGAGGGACATTTCCATAGCAACAGTTTTTCAAATCTATAATATTTAACTTTCATTATTTTAAAATTAAGAATAATTTGTTCACTTATGAAATTTCTTTATGTAATCTGATTGTAAATAATGTTATTAAATTTTAATTTAAGTATGCAATAAATCTAATAACAATTTTGTACTTTATTTGAGCTTAACTTATTTAATAATAAATAATGATGATGATGATGATAATTTTGTTCTATGGCTTTAATTATTTTAATAATAAAGTGAGGAAGATAATAATAAACATATATGCTATGGCATCCATCTCTAACTTACATAATGTTGCAAATAAAATAATTTAATCCCATAATTCAATTCAATTTTATGAGAAATTAGAATTTCTTAAGCAGACAAATAAAAAAAAAATTAAATGAAATTTTAAAAAGAAATAAACTTTGAATAGTAAGAGACGATTGTAATTCTTTCGGGAAATAAAATTTAAATTGAAAATAATTTGATGATAACAAGCACTGACACACCCCTTGGGTCAGACGAATATATCCAAGCGTGTTTGTTTAATAAAAGAGTTGCACAACAATCATCCATTTCAAATTTTAATTCCACACGTGTAGTGTCATATGGCAACTGAGTATTACAATAAGTTAAGTGTCTCCTCACTGCTAATTCGATTCGACATGCTCTTTAGACTCTCTGTCCAGCTGGGTCATGTGATTAGGTACGCAAAATCAGAATTCGAACCAAATGTGTAATCTCAGTTTTGACTTCTATAGAGACATTTTTAGAGTAGCAAATGTTAGGTGGCAATTCTCCTGTTGCAATTCTGTCTGTTACCATTCCGTTTGTCACCACTTACTTTGCCATCTTTCCATTCCCTAATTATTCCCTCTATTGCATTCTGTCATTTGTTTAAGAGTTCCCTCCCTGTCTTTTTGTTTGTCACCATTTTTTTGGTTCTATTGCCATTATGTCTGTTTATTCATAAGAGTCCTTTCTTTCTTTGTCATCAGTTTTAATCATCACTCTGTTGCTATTCCCTCAGTTACTATCCCCTCTGTAAGTTTTAATCATTTCTTTTCTGCCATTGGGCCAATCACTCTATTATTATTATTCAATCATAGGATGGTTCATATTTTCAATCCCAAGGCAAGGAACATGCTTGGACTTTTTGGATGCAAGGAATGTTTTCAGTCATTGAACATCAAGATATGTTAAAAATTTGAATGCATTCTGTATTGGATACTTCAGCGAACATAAAGATATTGTGTCTTTAAAGTTTATTATAAGCATGTGATATATAATATAATAATTAATTGATACAAATTAATTAATTAATCAATGTGGCTTAGATAAGGAGTGCAGATAATAGTCACAAGAAAGAATTTGGCTGTCTCTTATACACATCTAGATGTGTATAAGAGACAGGTAGGAGTTAGCCCATCGGTATATTAACAGTTATGGCAAATAATTGTGTAAAGTAAAAAACATTCTTCTAAATTCAGCACTGAAGTTAAAGGGCCAAATTTCAAAAAGGTTAAAGGTGAAAGAATGCTTTTTAGTTAATGTGTTTTTATGGATGTATTATATTACACCTGTTAAGTGTTGATCATTGCCCTAATGAGCTACAATATGTAAAATCAAAATACTAATTTGTTATTCTTAACTCTATGCTACCGCCTTGGGCTTATGTACTAAGTTAGTACTCATATTGTTAATTGTCTGTGTGAAAACACTTGTTGTTGCCGAGACGTCTTAAGGTTAGAGCGGGTGGCCAGGAACTTAATAATGATGTGGGTCTGCTGAGGCTTCAGGGTTGATCTGAAAACGATCAGGACAGCATTCATTTCACTTCTGTTGTAGGGACGTTTGCTGGTTGTTGATGAGATTGCAAATAGGTTTTGGGTACACGGTACGTCTCGATTGTTTCTGAGAGGGAAATAACTTTAATTGGCCAATTATAGCAAAACCAAAAAGCTATATTCTGACCTTGCAGGAATTTTATATCCCAGAGTATGAGATGGCGTTGGAAGCTAATTAGGAGTAATTGCCAACCGATCTTACAATTAGCAACCGAGGAACTACCCACCAACCCCCCAAATCCTGCTTAGCTATTGTTTATGACTGCGTTGCTAAGAAAAACTCCACAGATTGGAGCTTAATTATGAAATTACAAGGTTACATGTACCACAACTAGAGACAAACAAACCACTGAAAAAGTAAGTTAATAAAACAGAACACTAATTATTGACTGATGATTAAAGAGATGCAGAATAGCTAAAGTAACTACAAACATTGATTGATTGATACATTGTAGTACATTACTCAATGTTACATTGTTTTTCTTTCTTTTAGCCTCACTGATTTGTTCACTCAACACCTTGTAACAATAACCTATTTGTCACAATTGCTTTCTGCTATAACAACATTCCGCATTCTTTGTTCTTGAAGCATGGTGGACTGTTAGTAGTTGTAGAACTATTTCATCGATAATAAACCAATCACATTTTCATGTAAACTCACTGCGAGCTTTCGTCAAAGTTATCAGTATGATTTCATCAGGCTACAATTCTAAATCATAAAAGAAAAACCAGATAAAACTGTTTGAGTAGTATAATAATTATTTGAATGCTAGAATAATAAAAAAGTGGCATGTTGCTTAAGGTACTATATCCATCTTCTAATACTGAGGTATAACTTTATTGTAATTTGTTAAGCACTTACTGGTTGATGATAAAATATAATGACTTTTGTTTTTAGAACTTCTATACTGTAGTACATCTCATGTCCCCTCCCCCCCCCCAAAAAAAAAAAACAATAATAAAAAATTATTTTTAAAAACATTGCCAAACCTCAGAACACACACACTCATTGTCTATCAGGATATTTTTATTTCTGCGGCATTGTTCTTGGTGGTTTTGATTGTGAAAGTAAAATATAAATTGTTTTTAGGTGGTCCAAAAACAATAATTTGGCCTTTATGCATGTACTAATAATTCGTACCATTTAGAGATAAATTTGCTCATCCTAGGGCCGAGGCTATTCATGATTATTAACATCTTGTTCCAAGGTGATACATAGAGTTACACCTGTTGTAAAGGTGCTGCTTCTCTAAAATTATATAAGATACCAGCTTATACATACAAGTGACAAAGTTAAATTCCTAAGCTATAGCTAATTATCTATTCAAATAGTTAGTCAGAGCTGCATCAGTTGCTGTTATTTCAAGTGTGATTTACTGCCCTCTCCACTTGCTCACCAAGATAACTCATGTATTCCTTGTGTCAAATTATTTTGAAGGTTTCAAACACGTTCATACTAAGACATGCTATAGTTTATTAATTCATCTATGTACCAAGAATGATTAACAATTAAACATAAAGATGATAATGGAACTTTAAATAGACATGTCATTAAAATATCTCAATTTTGTGACTAGCTAATATGCTTATATACTTTTTTTGTTATAAGAACATATTTTATGAGAACGCTAAGACTGAAATTGCTTGAAAATTAAGAACAAAATTAGAACAAATTGAGGCTGGGTCAAATGGAGATTTTTTTTTTTTTTTTAAACTAGAAAAACCAACAAACCTGTCTACCTTAATGTGCTGTAGATGTGACTATGTAATACTATACCCTCTATAATATACAGTTTAGCAATATACTGCTGTATCAACAATAATAATTTCTATGTTTGAAATGTGTTTAAAAATATGAACAAGATAAGAACAATTTGAGCCTGAAATTGGCCAAAAAACACCGAGCCTGGGCAAAATTTTACTGGTTCTTATAAAAAAAAAAAGTGTATTAGTTGGAATTTGTTTATAAGCTTTTAGAAGGTGCTTAGTAATTTTGCCTTGGTTTTTCTAATTAGTTTTGATTTATTTCTTTTTCTTGGAAAGGTTGGTGATTGCTTGCAGAGGAAGATCAGGATGAGGCCCGATAAAACACAATTAATAAACCAACACATTCTAGAAGGTAAGATGATAACAAGTATTTAAAAAAACTATGCTATGGTCAAATAAATAATTAAATGTTCATATTGTCATGGAATCTTAAGAATCGCAGACAAAGTCATTACTTAAAAATTGATTGCATACATTAATATATAGTAAGACGTTTTGTATGTACAGTATGTTGTGTGATAAATTAACACCTACTCTGTGTGTTCTTAAAGAATGTTCCCCGATATTAACCAATAGAGGGCAGTATCACATAGTGAAAATAACATTTCTTAAAATTTAAATAAGATTTTTATTTGAATTGGATATTATTTTAGAAAAGCATTTGATAATTAATATGCCCATATTAATTGCTAGCCATTGTTATTGCTTTCGTTTTTGGAATACAGCCGTCATTCAGGATTTCCTAAAGAGATGATATATCGCAAAACATACACCTAGTAACATATCAGGACATATAAATTTGATAATGTTTTTTTAATTTTCTGCAGAGTTTTCTAAATGATATTTGTAAATTTAACAGAAAAATAAGTTGGTGGCAAAAAAAAAAAACATGATACAGGAGGAAAAGATAAATATAATTTTATTTGGCTATTGAGTCATTCTGACCACAATTTAAATCAATTAACATCAAGGTTGTAAGCTTAACTTAAAGATAACTATGAGAACTTGAAAGGTTTCTTTTCCTCTCTTCTAGATACCAGCACAGATCCATTAGTAAGTGCCACTCACCAGCGCTTAAAACGAGCCCGTTTGGAGCGTGATCTCGAAGGCAAGATAAAAAATCGACCAGGGCCTCTAGAGTTGATTGAAGAAAATATTCTGAAAACAGATAACTTATTGGTTGAGCAGGCTATCAAAGGTAAGGAGGAATGAAGATTGAGGGCGTTGTTGTGGCTACATTTCCTGTAATGTGGTAGATTGGTTTTGTGCTCTCGACAATTGTTGTTCCATCTGCTTTTATTAAACTAACATCTGTTGTTTTTTGTTCAAATTATTTTCCTAGTTTTATATTGGGCCTTGTATTATTGAGTGAATTCCATTTGTAAAAACAAAAAAAATATATAATAATAATAATAATATATATATATAGAATCGAAGCTAGATTTTGTTGTCGTTAATTGAATATTGTAACATTCTCTAACGTTTTATGGTTGAATTGAGATAGAACAAAAATTTGTTATCAACCAGATTTGTCTATGATTGATGATGAATTTAGAGGCCAATGCGATTTCTGCTAGTGTATCTAAAATAGAATTCAAAAAATGTACTTTAGTTGCAGACACAGTGATCAAATAATGATTAATTTGAAACCAACAAGAAAATGCTGGTTGTAGAATGTTGATATTGTAATGTTGGTACTTTATACTCTATGATGTGAAATTAATAGCATTTCTTGAATTGAATTTCTTATCTTTGCAGATGGCAAAGTTATGTTTATGAAGACAAATAGTATGGATGTTCCAAACATGGTTGATGAAGACAGTCAAGAGGTGGGCAGTGATGAAGCACCCTCACCATCGCAATCAGAAGCATCTTCTGTTCAGTGTCCTGACAATAGGTTCAATGGTGTTCCATCTCCACCAGATATCGGAGCATTTTTTGAACGTTTAAAATCGGAACAAGTATTGTCTCCTGTGCTGACCGTCAGTGCACTGACCTCATTTCAAGATTCAGGGTTGACGAGTCCTCAACAGGTGACACCACCAACGCCTTCGTTATTCTCAATGCCATCACCAAATCATACAAAGACTTCTTCGTCTTCATCCTCTTCATCTTCTAAATCCAGAAAGAAGCAAGCAAAGCGACCCAAACCCAAAGAGATCAAGTTTCATGAGTACAAGCCTCCAAACGAAGTCAACAGCAAATCTGCTACATCTGCAACTGATGATGATAACCCATATAATCTATTATTAATGCAACAGCAGTTGTTTCTGCAGTTACAACTGCTGCAACAGCAGCAAGCCATGCAGCAGCAGCAGCAACAGCAGCCCAGTAACCAAAAGGAATCCTCCAGTGTAGGATCAATAGGATCTCCAGGAGGCAGCGTAGACAGTGTACAGGCTACGCCGCTCAAAGTTGGCAAAATCACTGGAAACTTAGAGGACATGAAAGTAGCTGAATTAAAAATTGAGTTGAAAGCTAGAGGACTGCACGTTTCTGGCACGAAGCCGCAACTTGTTGAACGTTTGCGGCCATACACAGAAACTAGCGCCAGCCGCTCAAATTCTACATCTTCTACATATGACGTGCCAACATCATCACCGCAAGCTAAAGTTAGTAGCTCAACAGATTTTCCATTGGATGCCATGAGTGATATCAGTGCTCCACCATCTGTGAGCACCCCTCCAGTCTCTCCACCAGATGCCAAACAGTTAGCTTCCGTCAAGTCAGAACCCATGTCTCCTGGAAATGTTTTCATGGATCCCATGTCACCTCTTAATCTGCAAGGCAAAAATGACTCTTCCATAATCATTACATCTCAGAATACTCATGAGGAACGGACACTGCACAGGACATTAAGTTCCAGCAGCATAAGATCAAAGACTATTCCGATGGACATGGATAGTAACAGTAATATTGAGCAATGTCTGCCAGATCTCATAAGTGAAGACACTTCTGTCAATGATTCTAGCGATCTGGTGAAGCAGCAGCAGAGAAAAATAGAAGAACTTCAACAGCAGCTGCTGCTTTCGCAAATGCAGATACAGCAGCAAAAGCAACAATTACAAAGTCGACCACCACCACCTCCGCCGCCTCCTCCACCACCACAGGGACAATCGCAGACAGTCAATTTACAATTGCAGAAAAAATTGGCTCCACAGACACTTATTCCAGGTTTGATAAGCACAGTACCAACTCAGCTGTCTGCAGGTCAGGTCACAGTCACAAACTCTTCAGCATCAGTCGCACCAGTAGGCCAACCACCAGCGTTCCAAGTCAGTCAAACCTTTGCACCAACCACCAAAGTGTTATCATTTGGTGTGTCCTCCCCGAGTCAGCAATTTACATTTCCTAAACACACTATCGATACCAAGCCTGTTTCGATACCAAATGGTTTATTTGCATCCCAGAAAGCATCATCATTACCAAACAGCCCAACAGATGTTATTGCAGATACGCCAAGTTTGTCTCGGTCAATGACAAACCCAGCATTCTCAAGCCCACCACCAAGATATGAGGATGCCATCCGGCAAACTAAGGTAGGAAAATGGACGAAAGAATAATGTTACATTGTATTGCTCATAAAGAATTTGTTTAGATTTGAAAATTTCTAAGTACCTAAATTACCAATCAAAACAGAGCTGTGGCTTTGTTTATAAGATGGTTTTTCTGTTGAACTGTTGCTGAGTGGAACATACTTTCTGATTATCTAGAGAAAACAGCCTATCTTTTAAGGAGCATTTATTGACTAAATTATCTAATTCGACTAAATCTGCGACAGAAGCTCAGGCCAAAGCTTTCAATTTTGAAGTTCGCCTCTAAATAATGGAGGTGAATTCTGGATGCAAATCTTTCCAATTTCAAGATTCTAAAGTGATATCTCATACCATGGACCTATTAATATAAGAAGGACATACAACGTAGTATTGCCATTTGATCCATCATCTTTTCCGACAAGATAAGAGAAGGGCATATCACATAGTACTTATCGGAATAAACAATAATTAAGATAAGGTTGTACTGTTAATCGTTACGTCAATTCCAGTCTGGGCATGCGTATTAGGCTTTTTAGGCATTAGGTCTATGCTCATACAATGATGCAATATTTATTATACTAAATTTTTTATTTGGCAGATAAAGAATGGTAATCAAGGAGGAAATTCTCGAAGCACCCACACTCAAGACTTGGATGACTTGTTGGAAGTTTTGGTTGATCATGGATGTAAGTTGTAGATGAACATTTGGTTAAATTTTTTACTGATATGTGAAATTTTAATATTCATATTATGTATCTTTAATTCAAAACAAATAAGTAAAACATGCAATGTGTTGCAGCTATAGCTGAATTACATGAAAACATTTACAAACTCACAATATAGGAATTGTAAGTTATAAATAAGTTAAGAATTAACCTTATTTATTATCAATTAATATCATAAGCATTTCAGTTTTTATAGATTACACATTCATTCAAGATGAAATATGACATTTGCAGTCAATATTCAATAGTTTAGAAAGGAAAAAGTTATATAATATTACCAGTGTATTATACACCAAAAAACTCTTTTAGATTTACAATCGTCTGAGCGCAATTAGCTCCTGATATCACTCACACTCATGTACTGTATTTATTTTTCGTTGTATTCTCTTTTTTTTTAGATCAAATTCCATCAACACCAAGGAATCGAGGGCAATTGGGCATTGCCAACAGCTTTCCTCAAACAATAACACTTACACAATCACCGCAACGAATTCACCTGGCCTCGTCACCGCCAAAATCACCATCGGCCGGGCGTCGTGCCACAGCGTCAAATTCAATGTCACGGTCTATGCCTCCATCCCACATGACCACCGAACTACCAATGGACATTGATGCGGAACTAAGTTTAGGGACAATTGATCTCGGTGTTGTTAAAAGCGAAAGACTTTCACCGGCAGACATTAACAAGGACATCCACCAAAGCAATTCTTTAGACATCACAATGATGGACAGCGATTCAAACATTCTCGGATTAAGTAATGATCCATTAACGGATACGTGCGCAAGCTCCTCGGACACAAATGTTGACAATTGGTTAGACTTAGTGATTCCAAGTTCAGGCAGTGGACTCACTCCAGTGAGCTGTACTCCACCTGCCGGTCTGTCAATCGATAATGTTCTCGGCAATCCTCTTGGAAAGGATCCGTTTTCCTTGAATTTATTTGATCTAGGCGAAATAAGCACTCCGACTGAACTACATCATTTGGAGGGAGACGGATGGGACAACATCCCGGTCGGTGAATAATTACAGGTCATCAGTACATCATATACCTCAACAGGGACTTCCATAATTAAACGCTACTGCTGTTCAGTTGTAATACGTTGGTATTGTACCTGATATTTGCCAGATATGAATATTCATAAGACAATGTATATGAATATTCATTTTAATGCTTTAAATGGTCAAAGATATATTCAGACTGAAGCATTTGCGCAACTTCATCTGCTGGTGCATAAGTTGTCGAGGTAATGCAAGAAATATAAGTAGGAAGCCCTCTGTCATGCTAGCACCAGACGATCACAGAACCAAGGGAGATAAACTGGTGAGCCACGCAATCAACTTCCATCAGAGGGATCAATTTGGATGGCAGTAACTACATAAACACTTTCCTTATGATTATCTGGCTTCTGGCCATATGGCTGACAATTGTAGATAGTGTATTGAAATAACCTGTCTCTAAAGCCAGACACTCTTAGTGATTCTATGGTCTGCAACCCCTATGATATGATAAGGTGCACACGATGGATCATACGGACTATCACCAAAAACCAGCAGACAACGTTGTTTCATTAAGCGCTCACACAAAGCAAAGATGAATTTTTGCCGCGTTTGGTTGGACCATCCAGTGGTCGCCAACTTTAGGTGTGCAGAGTCTTCGGGTCAAGGTGTCTGGCAAACGCATCAAACTGTTTACATATAACACGCTGTAATCCCACCATTTTTAATTTATTTGCAGATAAATTAAACCTATGTATTTTGGTCTGAATTCACAATTGTTTTATAGCTTTATTAAGTTTACTATGAAGATCATCAGTAAAGTGATTCCTTTACTAAAAGATATAGGGTTTACATATAGATGTACCCACTAAATTTTCTAATAAACATGTCTGGTTTCGTAATGACATAATGAAAAAATAAGAATGATTATTAAAATATTATTGTTCTTTAAAGTGATTATGTAATCAGACAAAAATGCGCTTTTTTTTTTTACATACACTTTAAGTATATTATGTTTATTTGTTATATTGTGTACAGCTATTACTTCCTGTTTTTACAATGGAAATAAAATACAAAATTGTTTATAAGATGGAGGATATGTTTTGATGATATGATAAAAGAATTGATTTTATAGGATTTATACAGTGATAATTATGTACATAAACATTTTTGTTTCTATTTTTCTGTTTACATATTGGGTTAATTATAGGGTTCAATGCTATTTATGTAAATAGGGGATTAAAAATCATGGTAATTAATGACATGTATCATAAGCTATCTATAAAAGTATCTTTAGGAACAATCTTGGGTGGGGGGAAATACTTACATAGTTAGAAGATTATTTTATTTGATATAATTCAAATTGTGGTTGGAAAATACTAACTACAGATAATGATGGAGTATAAACTCTTAAATTATTTTGTACTAGAGTTTTATCAGGTTGTGTTGTGTTTATTCTTGTTATATTATATGCTCTCTATTCTATGCTGAAAGTACAATTGAAGCCAATTTTGTTTAAGGATTCGTTCTAAGCGAAAAATTATTTTCTCTTATCAGAAATGGCCCTTCCTGACTCCTTCATTCCAGTATTATTATTTTGCGGTTTTCTGAATCTATAAATATTTTGATGATATTAAAGGGTTTAAAGATATAATTAAAGGCTGCTTATCTTTTGGTATTAGTGGTGTGGTATTGTGACCCTTATTTACTTTATATTTGTTGACCTTTTAAGGAAAGTTTAGAATTTAATGTCATGTAAATTGTCCAAGTTATAAAGCTAATCATTTTGATGTGAAGTATCCAAAACAAATGATTCCATCTTTTCTTATTTTTATTATTATTTTTGCTACTATTATGATTATTATTATTTATTACTATTCATTTTTTTGAATTTTATTTATTATATTTATAACTAATCTTGTTTATTGACTTAGAAATATCAGTTATGAAATTACTTAATTTCTGTTGTATGCATAATCTTAATGCTACCATGGATTTTTTAATGCATTATATCTTGTATTTTTTTTAACCATATAAACAGAGCTGGCTAAATCTGTTCTTAGCTGTTAAACTCTGCATGGTTTGTAGAAGTTCTATGCTTTTATTATTATTATTATTATTATTATTATTATTATTATTATTATTATTATTATTATTATTCTTGAAGTGGTTTTGTTCATATATTTAGTTCATGTGTGTGTGTGTTAATCAGCTAGTTATATCTTTACTCCTGATTTGTTATTCAATGTTAACCGCTGACCAAAAAATCTTATATATAATGCAGTTGTTTTTGAGATTGTACTGTATTAATATATACCTCTGGAGTTATACTTTGAAATCAAGAATACTACTACTACCTGGGAAAAAAAAATTTATGTTGGATTTTTCTAACCGATGTATTTATTTATATTATGTGAAAAAAAATATCTGCTGCTGCTACTTAAAATCTTTCTTGATGTGTTAGATATGGATTTAGTTTACAAAAGATTTTGCTCAATATTTTTAAGTAGTTATTTCATTCTTACTACTTAATTCAATTCTCCCCAACCCTTTAATTGGTAACTAATAAATATATAAAACAAAAAAGCAATTAAAACATAAGCTTGATGAAATATTCAAAGTTATGAAGAAAAAATGCATTTAGTTGAACTGTGGTTGAGTTATAAAATCATTCCATCAATGAAAAAAAGATAATATATATGTAAAAAAAATGTGTGCATACAAAGATCTTAAACCATGATAAATGCAGTTGAATATTTCAATTTTATACATTTATCATGTTGGGCTTTTTGTGATAGACATTTTGTCTTTATGTACATTTTGTAGAATATGCTATGGATAATATTTTAAGGGTTTTTGTACTTTGGTTTCCTTGCATAAAAGCTATGCAATGTCTTTTCTAATGTAAACATTTTGAAAGTGTTTTTTTTTTTTTTTTTTATCTTACGGACATGTTGTTAAATTATCCATTTGTTAAGTTATTCATCCTATGACTTGTGTGTGGAGCTTCTTGCTGTGGTGACCTTTTTAGATTTCAGAATATAATCAAGCTAACTTGCGTGCAGATAATATATATGTAAAAAAAATGTGTGCATACAAAGACCTTAAACCATGATAAATGCAGTTGAATATTTCAATTTTATACATTTATCATGTTGGGCTTTTTGTGATAGACATTTTTTCTTTATGTACATTTTTTAGAATATGCTATGGATAATATTTTAAGGGTTTTTGTACTTTGGTTTCCTTGCATAAAAGCTATGCAATGTCTTTTCTAATGTAAACTTTTTGAAAGTGTTTTTTTTTTTTTTTATCTTACGGACATGTTGTTAAATTATCCATTTGTTAAGTTATTCATCCTATGACTTGTGTGTGGAGCTTCTTGCTGTGGTGACCTTTTTAGATTTCAGAATATAATCAAGCTAACTTGCGTGCACTTTTAACAAATTGTTAGAATTTCGTAAACTTGTATTTATTCATTTGGATTTAAAAAACCAAAACATATTTTCAAAGAGCCCACATGAAAAATATCGCAGAGGGAAAAGAAAACAATATGCAAAACAAAAATATTAACTTAAATTGAATAAAGTTTTATTTGAAATAATGTATTTTTTGATACCTTACAAAGTTTGAAAATTGTAGGGGGCGCTCTGCTGCTTAAGGGCATGTAATAATACACCCGTAATAGCAAAACTAATATAAAAATTTAATGTTATATTCAGCAAATTAGTTTACGAAAATTGAGGTACAGTAATTATATAAGAGATGTCCAAAAGTATATAGGAACACCGTGGTTGGTGACACCCTTTGGGTGTCCACACCTTCGTATTGGGCATTACACTCTTTGGTCACATGACCTGATACTTCATCAAAACACCTGAAAACCTAGTTACAGGTGCTATTCAAATTATCTGTGTACATACATTAAGTCTTCCAAATTACAAGATTACAATGTTTATGTTTCAATGTCTTTTTTATTTAAAAATCATCGTAAATATCATTATTTTCATACATTGATGAGTAGATAACTGTGTAAAGTAAAGCACTCTCCACATTATCAAATTTTCTTTGACAAAAAACTGTGGTATACTATACACCATAAAACCTCAAATTGAAGCCCAATGGGCTTAATCTCGAGAAGAAGACCATCTCAAATTGAAGCCCCCTCTTTAGTTTGCAAATTCAGCCTCGAAAAGAAGCCCATGGGCTTCTTTTCAAGATAGCATAGGCTTTTTTTTTCGAGATAGTAAAGTACATACACTGTACATGAATTAAAAAAATAAAAAATAATTAAAAACATGCTTGGTATATAGTTAGGTGATTCAATGCCGGTTAATACACTCCATGATACAGGTTGATGTTACAGTGGCCTTATATTGCTTTAATAGTACAAATTCCCAAAATTTACAGCATTCAGTTTGAAAAGACCCCCTCTTTAAAAAAAGGAAAAAGGAAACCATCTCGAAAAGAAGCCCATCCAAAGTTCGCAGAAAAAAGAAAAAAAGAAGTCCAGGACTTCAATTCGAGGTTGTACAGTATAGTCATGATGTGCCTATTATATGTGATGTCATCATGACCATATTTAGGTACGTCACGTTTTTGTCAAAAACATTTGATAGTCTGGATAGGGCTTAAGGACTATAAGCATTTCTGTTGTGCGGGGATAAGACAAGGCGGCAAGTTGTGAACTAAGACAGGTGTACTTAGGTAAAGCCGGGCACTCACTCCGCTCGAAGGTCGTTGGCCGACGCGATTTATGGAGAAAGCAACGCCACGACCAACTGCAACAGATCGTTTTTAATGACGATCTCTTTAGTCTGCCATTGACAATCAGCAGACAGCGTGGCGTCGTCTAGCGCTTACAAGGAGCGCAGTTGGATTCGACAGCTGTACGACCGTCAGTGCGAGTGCCCAGCTTAAATATATTATAATTTGTTGTTGCTTATTATGGCAAAGTCGCAATTTGTTCCAAGATTCTCACTATTGATGCTTTAATATATATCTCACCTGTACCAGTACAAAAGCTGCTTTTAGAAATGTCTTTTACGCAGTATTTATTAGAAATCTGTTTTTTGCAGGTGGTTCGTTTATAAGTGTATAATTCTGGAGGTCCTCCATCGAGGTCCTACAATTTAAATTGCAGTATTTCTCAATTAACTATTTGTAACTCAATTCTACAATTGGTGATGCCTTTATTTAAAAAAATAAACAGAAAATAGGATGAATAATTAACTAAGTTTCAAAGACATAATAGATTTGCTTTGAATAAATTAACAATTATTTTTGGAAAGCTTCTCGCTTTAATTGCTAATATAGTAGCTGCACATCGAGTGTAGTATCGGTCTAGTAAATGTAATTCAAATTATATATTTCATTTAAATGTACATAAAACAAAAGAGAATAGAATTGGAGCTTATGATGGGAGAACAATAAATGGCCTATGGCTTGAATTGCATAATATAGTCTCTTGTAATCTGATTATTATTAGGTCCATGATCTAATCGTTTGTACTTGCAGTTGTGTAAATTATACAGATACCATATTTATTTGAATAAACGCCCTGCTTTGAATGAACTTCCCCCTCCATTGCATTAATAGAACGTTAATAGAATGTGTTGATAATGACATTGCTTCCATTAGGTTTGTTTAAGTCATTTAGGGGGGTATTTATTGGAAGAAAAAATAAACGCCCCGAGGCGTTTAATCGAAGGAGGTGTCTATTCCAAATGGGTAGTTGCTAAATACAACGGGTTCAGCCGAGGGGGAGTGGCTTGTATATGGTGACGTCATGTATAATTATGCCGTCTACCAAAAAACATCACACTACACTGTGTGAATGTCAATTAGCAAGGCGAGCAGGCTGAGGGTTAGCTTAGTTTTCTCTTGTGTTGCTGCTATGGGCGGGTGAGGGAAGATCGAGTCCATTTTCAGATGATTGGCCTAAGTAGTATGGACGTAGGTCTAGGCTCCCTCTAACTAAGCCTGGGCTAGGTCGGACCAGGAGGTCTTTTCAGTAGTCCTGCTGGGGCTTAGTCATAGAGTGTGTGTCCAGCAACCCGCAGCAGTCCGCTAGGCCTATATGCCTCATTTACGTGAAGTTAGGCCTATGCAGAATCTGTTGTAAGACCCTCGCCTAGGCTACTGAAGAATGTGCACTAGGCGCATAATATAACATTTATACAATACAAATATACACGACATTGAAAAGTTATATATTTACTTAAATTACATATATTAACATTCGGTTCCTTTTTTCTGGAATATAGCCGGCAATATTGTTTAAAAGCAGTGAACACTAAAAAAAAAATCTTAACTTCAGCAGTCATGTTGTAAAAGTTGTAGTTTTAATTTATTAGGCCCATTTTCTCTTCCAGTAAGATAATTTATTCATAGGATGAAGATTGGAAACTCATAAACTAAGTAGTACAGGGGTGGAGCCAGGATTTGCCCGGGATCCGAAGCCCCCGATGAAAAAATGTGGGCGCGTGGTCGGGCGTCCCTCATTATCCGTCGAGATTTTCACGGGGCTTCCACCCACCCCCCACCCGGAAAAAAATAACAATTTTTGATTTGAAAGGCTTACCAGTCGATTTTGGTGTCTACTAATAGGCCTATGTAGAACACTATTTCTCTCCGACGAATTGTGGTTATTCTCCCAGACGGGGTATGAGAAACCAGACCTCCCCGACGGGGCCCTTCCCCCACCCGTTACCCCTGCTGACTGCTGAGTACAGTATTGTACTATTGTAGGGCCTAGGCCATTGAATTTCATTTCTTTCTGTGATTAAGGCCTTAATCCCTACCGCTAAAACACAGGTGGGCAAAGTGCGGCCCGTCAGCGATTTTTTTGCGGCCCGCGACAATGAATTAAAAACCCTATATTTGCAGCCCGCCAATCAAAATTGTCTAGAAAACATTTTTTTTTATGGCCCAACACCAATAATATGTAAAAAGTAACATTAAATCTTGTAATAAAGGTGATAAAAGCAGTGATTGGAGGATTTTGGAAGCTCACTGGAACATCAAAGTTTGGGTGCGGCCCTCGGTGTTAAATCAAAAGTTCACTTTGGCCCTCCAAAAGATTTTTATGCCCACCCCTGCGCTAAAATAAGACTAAACTCGGCCTATGTATTATTTCGGGTCATGAC